GTCATTCTGACGATACCCCTGGGCATAGGTTTTAAGGTTGTGCTCCTCTGCTTTCGCCGTTGAATGAGGTTGAGGAGACTGACGGAGTTGTTCCTGAGCAGCTGCAGGGTTCGCGGCAGTACATGTACGACCAAGGCCTGAAGGGGCTGGGCGAACCTTGCTGGGACGCTTTTGAGATTGGCATTGCGTTACCGTGCTTGCCGCCAGCAGTGGCGGCTCCGCGGGCGCAGCAAGACTGCGTGCTCTAGGGTGATTGGAGCGTGCAGGTGAATCGTCGTGGGAATATTGTTTTCTTTGACGGATCTGGATTTGCGTCGGCGGTTCCTAAATTGATGCGCTGTGGATGGGCACTTGCCATGCTAAGTGAAGCAGGACTCCCACTGCGTGCTGCGTATGGAGCTCTGCCAGGCGTGCTGCAGTCTGTTGGGCGCGCTGAGCGCTACGCGGTGTACATGGCGTTCAAATTGTGGGGCGACTTCGACTTCCTGTGCACGGACCTGCTTGCGCTGTGTGACGAAGGTAACGCTTGGACGGACGAACTGGACGGAGCTGCGGGCACCCACGCTACGATTTGGAGACAGATCAAGGCAGCGGCAGAGCAGCGGAGGCCGCGGTTCTTCTGGGTGCCCTCGCACAAGTCCGTCGATGAGTATGGACAGATGTGCATTCCACAGTTATTTTGTCTTGGTAATGGTTGGGCTGGTTGGTTTGCTCGGGCGGGTGCACTCGAGCGCAGAGTCAGCAAGGGCTACGAGGACTTCTACCAGGTGGAGTTCAGGCAGCATCAGAGTGTGGCTAAGTACATGGCGTGGGCTATGCATAGGATGCGCACCATTGGAGGTTGGGACCCTGAGCAACAATATGTTCCGGTGCGTGCTCCTTCGTTTCCTGTACCGCAGGTCACCGCTGTTGAGCACCAATTGGTTCGTCTTGATACTGGGTTCATGTTATGCAGGTCGTGTTTTCGCTCCACCGCCATGGAAAGTGGACCGACACTTGGGCAGTTTTTTTCGATCTGCGCGCACGCCAAATACTTTCGATCGTCTTCGAGCTAAAGCTCATATTCGGAAGTATGGTGCTCAGTCCCTCCCCACACATTGGGTGGTGCAGGTGGCTCTATTGGCTGCTGATCGTTTTGACGTGGAGGAGGGGGTCCCTGTGCCTGTGCTGGGGAGTGCGGTATCAATATGGGATGAGCATGAGATGGTTGAGCATGACGGACACCGACTCAGGCGTGCGGGTGCAACGGCTTTCTGCGATAAGTGTGTATCATGGTCGGGAGCGGGGCATTCTGCGGCTCTTCACCGTCCATGTAAAGTTTTCCCTCTGGAGAGGGCAAGGCGGCGTCTTATATTTCCAACATTCGTGGCCGATTACGTCTGCTCATGGCTGGCAAACATCCCAAGTCGCGCGAGGTGCTTTAGCATCCGTGTCTGTTGATGGGAGTTGGCTGGCTTCGCAGGTGTTTTCTGATAGTGTATGCTTTATTGAGTGCATTGGAATGGCTTATGCTGGTGGGTCAATGTATGCTAATTGTATTCCCCCCGCTTTGGCGGGGTCTGCAGCTGTCAGCCCAGGCTGGTAGTGGGCTGGGGGAGGTCCCCGCGAGCCCCGTGCATCGGTATTGTGGGTATTCGGTCCCCCCTGCTCGTCTCAGAAGCGTCCCGTGAGGGAGTTCTGGCCATCCGTTGGTGACGGGTGCGCTTGCCTTCTGGCGGGGGGGCACGCTGTGGCCAATGAGGTTGTGTGGGAGCGTCCCGTGAGGGAGTTCTGGCCGACCATTGGTGATGGTCGCGCTTGCCTCCTGCACATCCTCACTCCAGCTCCTCGGAAGCGTCCCGTGAGGGAGATTCTGGCTGCCTGTTGGTGACAGATGGCTTGCCTTACGTCTGGGGTGGCCACGGCGGCTACGACTTGGTTCGCTGGTGAACTACAGGTCTACTGGGGTGCAGCAGGCATATTCATTGGCTGGCGCGTGGCTGGTGTTACAATGGATTGGTTTTTCCCCCGCACCTTGCGGGGGTATGCGGCTGCCAGTCCTGGCTGGTAGTGGGCTGGGGGAGGTCCCCGCGAGTCCGTTGCACTGCTGTATTGGGGTACGATGTCGATGGCGTGTTCGGCAGGCACTCTGGATTTATTACTTGTATTGAGGGGCCCGCTGGCCCCCGCCTCAGCCGCCGCGTGTTTGTCCTTCGGACGCGCGCGCCTCGCCTCGTAGCCTCGTAGCCCCGTAGCCTCGTAGCCTCCTCCCCCTCCTCCTCCCCCACTTCCTCCTCCTGCTCTACCTGTCGCTCGCCGGCGAAATGAGGCCGCCCCCGTCCCGATGGGCCTCCCCCCGGGGCGCGCGGCCTGCGCGGCGCCCCAGCAGACAGACGGCCGCGCGAGACCCCGCACAGGCGCGAGCCCTGGCCTCGGCCAAGAGAAGCTACGCATGGCTGCACCGCGCGGCCCTCGCGCGGCGGATGGCCAGGGCGGGCATCGCCATGGAGAGGCTCCTCCTGCTCGTCCTCCTCCTCCTTGTCCTTGTCCTCCTCGTCCTCCTCTTCCTCCTCCTCATCATCATCCTCCTCCGTCTCCTCCTCCCTCCTCCTCCTCCTCCTCCTCCTCCTCCTTCTCCTCCTCCTCCTCCGTCTCCTCCTCCTCCTCCTCATCATCATCATCATCACAGCATCAGCATCATCATCATCATCATCATCATCATCATCATCATCATCATCATCATCATAATCAGCATCATCATCATCATCCTTCTCCGTCTCCTCCGTCTCCTCCTCCGTCTCCCTCCTCCTCCCCTCCTCCTCCTCCCTCCTCCTCCTCCTCCTCATCCTCCTCCTCCTCCTCCTCCTCCTCCTCCTCCTCCTCCTCCTCCTCCTCCTCCTCGTTCGTGTCCTCCTCCTCCTCCTCCTCCTCCTCCTCCTCCTCCTCCTCCTCCTCCTCGTCCTCCTCCCTCCTCCTTCCTCCTCCTCCTCCTCCTCTCCTCCTCCTCCTCCTCCTCCTCCTCCTCCTCCTCCTCCTCCTCCTCCTCCTCCTCCTCCTCCTCCTCTCCTCCTCTTCCGGGGCGGACCTCGCCATGGCAAGGGGCGGGAGGATGAGCATCGCTTAACTCGGGGGTGGACAGAGCCCCCACACTGACACGTCGATTAGTAGATTCTCCGTTTGCGGTCCTCGAGAGGGCGCCGCCGCCGTCGTCTTTTTCATGGCTTACGCCCGCCAGGTGTCGGCCTGGGGTCGTTTTCGCTAAACCACGTTTTGCTACTGGGGGTTTTGTCCATCCCCGATGAATTAACCCATCTCGAAGGAAACGTCATAAATATAAACTTGTTGGCGCACCGCGCGGATTTCTTGGATCTGCACTCGGACCTCCCCAGCGGCGACTCCGGCGCCGCCCCTGGCGCGCTCCGCGCGCCAGGGAGGGGGGCCCCATCGCGGATCCGAGAAATCCGCGCGGACGTCCAAAAAGTCAGTGTTCATGTTGTTTTTGTTCCTCCATTAACCTATCGCCATCCCCGCTGGGCCATGGCATGTCAGCCCCGCCATCCCACCACCCCATGATTGGAAGCGCCCCCTCGAGATCCGAAGGGAACCGCCTAAATATATTCCCACCTCGGGGGGGTACATCGCCCTTGGTGATGGGGGTTGGTTGAACGATGCTCAGAGGAGGCGGGAGGATCTAAATGGGTACGATCGAGGGCGTCCCCAAATGAAGTCGAAAGAGACGGGAGTGGAGGGTCGCGCCGCATCGGCGAGGCGTGGTAAGGTTTCGGGTTGCGCACAGACAGCCCTCCTAGGTTGTCCCCGCTGGCCTCAACAGGCCCCCCGAGTAGCCCCAGCTGGCCTCACGAAGACCAGCATCGGGCATTGAGAAAATGCCCAGCCAGATTAGTCGACTGGGAAGATCTGCGCGGGTTCACTCGACACTGGCATTCGGGTGTACTGGTGCAGTCCCCGGATATCGACGTGCGGCTCGCCAGATACATTCGGTTGTTTTTGAACGTCGATCAGCTACCCCGCTGGGGTTTTCTCGGAATGCGGTGCCGTTCGCACGTGGAGCTCACCTGACGGAACTTAGTAAAGGTTGTTTTGCTAAAGGGTGTTCTGTCAATATCCGACAACAGCAGTTCCTGTCCAGTTTTGGCACGACTCGCTGTCGGCGTCGCCGCGAGCCTTC